TTAACTTTTTAATCAATAAGGTAGAATTCTACTCAAATTTTACACAGAGAGATACTCAGAGACGTGACATTAAAACAATTTATGAAATGTGTTTGTATTTTTGTTAATGTTTTGCGATGTAACACATACATCCTTATAAAGCTATTGAAATACTTTTTGTATTTAATACTTTTTGCAATTCTTCAAAGCAAGAAGTAAAGTGTAAGTTACAGTAAACGTGACGGAGGAGCAATGTTTCTCACGATTTCACCGTATCTGTGTTTAACAGGCGTAATTCAATCGCCGTTATACTTTTACCGGTGGTTCACGAGTTTAGGATTATAACAGTGACGTCGCGAGCGTGTGAAACTTTCAATCTAAAATCAAAAATTATTTACCATTTCGTAATAACGATAAAAAGGACGACTGTGGCGCGTTTTTAAATGGTAATTTCAAAATTACATTTCGAGAAAAAGATGCGTGTATTGAAATATTTTACTTGGAATTTATAATTTAAAAAATTAAATAATATTAAGTACTCTTTAAGAAAAATTAATATTTTAAGTACTAATGAAGTTATTAAGTGATCATTTGACAGTGTTACAACAAGAAACACGATAAATAAGTATTGATACTCGTGCGGATACCGTTGGAACTATTAAGGCTCGTTGTCAATGTGGGTTATCTTGTAAATAGTCGGTTTTTCTCGAAAGCCTTATCTTAATTTTCGTAAAGTGAACGAAGCTTATCTTAATTTTCATAAGATGAACGAGGAAACGTTCGAAACACATTTTTTAAGCCACACAAAAAGTCGATCGACAAATAATGAAATTTTAATAATTAATATCAATTAAGATTTTGTATCTAGTTAAACATTCCAATTAAAGACAGGATTTGTATCGTTATAGGCCTTTTAACAACAAAACTATTCAAGTGTCGTCGACGTTCTTCAGCGACTTTTGAAAAGTTCTGCTCTCAAGTGATGGTATTTTCTTCTAAGATGAAAGAGAGGATGTAAACGGTGTCAGTGCTCCGATTTTAACATGTTATTGTAAACAATCTGAAGGTATATATTCTACTATACTATACTGTAATCTTTATTTTTTATAAAGAAATTTCAGAATACGAAATACGATATTTAATAAAAATATCCGTTATAATATATCGAATATAATATATATTCCAAATAAAGATATTTATTAAATCTTTATATATCTTAAAAAATAAACCTAGAATTATGTCGTAGTTTTCATTGTTTCAAAAAAAAACTATTAAACATCGTATATATACGATGTTTAATAGTTTTTTTTTGAAACAATGAAAACTACGACATAATTCTAGGTTTATTTTTTAAGATATATAAAGATTTAAAAAATACCTTTATTTATATATATATATATATATAAAATACGTATATAGATAAAAAGATATCTTTATCAGTACAGTACAGTAATTTCGTTTAGCAATACTTCAGCCATTATTTGAAAAAATTATGATATAATTTTATTACGTAATATAAAGCCGATAAAATTACCCGATTATAAAAATTTTCGGAAATAATAACAAATGAAGTGAAAATCTTCTAAACTAATTGTCATTGGCAAAAACCATGCAAGATCAATAATACCCAAGGTTGTAATTATTCAATTTAAATCAATAAATATGACAATATATATCAACAATATACATCGAATATACGTGTCATATATTATACCATTAGCTGCACTTATTTTCAGCAGAAAAAGCAATTTTGCAAATGTCGTAAAATTCTTTAATGTGATTAATCTCGCCCTTAATTTCTCATTAGACCTAAGTGTATAAAATTAATCGTATCAAAAAATATTACTGCTGCAGCTGCTTTTTCTGCTGAACGCAGCTATTGACATGTCACAAAGAAAAATAATGTTGCTATAAATGCAAAAAAGACTTGCAACATTTTATTATCGTTTTGCTGTTTATAGCAAACAAATTTGCATATTGGAAATTATAAACAATACTTTGCATTTGTTGCAAATAATTTTTGTAACAACGAAAAACTAAGTATTCGTTATACCCTCAAATTTGCGATCTTTAAATATGCAAAAAAAATATAATTTGTTGTGCTGTAGAATTAGCGTTCATAGCAAATTCTTTTCTATCCATGAATACTTTGAACTTTGAAAAATTTAGTATGCATGTAGATTTTATGGTTTAATCAAATCAATTTTGATATTGGATATCCAAAACTTCCCCCTCTCTGTTCATTCGTGAATTTTTCTCTACGATAAAGAGTAAAGCAGAAGAAATTGATCGATAAAAAACGTGAGTTCTAGATAGGCATGATGTTTTTCTGTTTAAACCGTATCATCCTTATCTCCATAGATCGCTCGCGTGCCGGAATTAATTACCGCGCAGCGCAAAAAGATTATTATTCGTACGATCCTCGTTGACACACGGGCGCGAACAAAATCGACGACCGGCCCTGTTTAAAACTCCCTACTCCGACCTCCATTTTGCTTGTTCCTACTTCCCAGCATTTGTTTACCTACGTAAGCGAGCGTATGCCTTTCATTACGATCGTGCATCGAGAAGAGGAGGTTGATATTCACATACGTGGGTGCGTTCGTACAGGAGCGAGCCCAAAAGATCTCAGTGCACCGGTGAAAGAGGGGGGAAAAAAAAATCGTGAGGAGGGTGAGACGTGGGGGCGCAATGCACCTGGCGGACGTGATACGGCCCTGACACGTCGTTCTCCAGCGAGCGTGTCGCAAACGTGCCACTAGTGCGTACCGCACCAAGTAAAAGAACACGAGGGGATCCAGCGATCCGCTGATGCGGCGCCGCGTGCGATCCCGCAATCACGCCGTATATTCGCACCCTCGCTCTCCTTTCTTACCACTCGTTCGCGCTCACGCTTCCTCGTTCACGCATACACGCGCACGCACGCCACGACGCCCACGGCCGCGGTCCGACCGGTCGGGACTCCCGCCATTTCTGCGTGACAACGGTGACGGCCGCGTCGTAGCAGTCGAACAGCTGCCGACTGGCGCATCCCACCGGACGAACGCGGAACGGTCGCGGGCCCGGCTGCCGTAACTGGCCGCAACACAGCAGCCGCGACACCCGCACTCTCGGTCTCGCGCCGGATTGCCGCGCTTATTTAAATTTACACTGACCGTTCATTCGGCGCGCCGGCGAACATCTGCGGTAGCACCCGCGGCTCCCAACGTCACCCACGACACGTCGGCGTTGCTCGTGCGTGAGCCGACGATCCGTTCGCATTCACACACGGTGTTTACCTCAGCCGCGACGCGACGTCACCGTCTCGCCGCGATCCACTCCACTCCTCTCACCACCGTCGGCGAAGACTGCCAAGATGGCGGCCGCCGTCACGTGACTCGCGACCGCGACGTTTTATGACGTCTGCATTTGTGAAAATGTTAAAGGGCCGCCGGCCAGCCATTCACGTTTCTTCCACGTCATCACGTGACCGCGTGCACGTGCATGTCCAATGAGAGAGATGCTTCCCTAAAAATAAGGGCGATTTACAGTCAAAATGGCGTAACGGGGTGAACACTCTTATCCCCACGTCCGCCCTTTTCAATCACGTGGAATTCATGCAATTCGTCATATTAATATGAGAGTACTTAAGTATGTGAAAATAGATTGTTTTTTAATAAAAGTAATTATAATAGATTCTTCCATTTGCAGTATGCATCGCTAGAGGTTCTATTAACGTTCCACATTTTATTTTAAAGATAGAGAGTTCTGAGATAAATGGTATTGCAAAAACTCCCTATTATACTTGACCTAATTACAGTATCAAATACGGTTTAGCTTAATCTGCAATACATGTACGTTATAGATTATATTTACTTTTTGCTTCTTGTTTCATACCTCATGACTTTTCCTTCTTTTCGACGGTTTTATCATTCTTTTCATATGTTTCTTGTCTTCCAAAGCTCGTCAACTTATCTCAGACAATAAAAAACGAAAAAATTGAATAAATGATAAAAAAAAGTAGTAAAAAGCAAGAAACATGTAAGTACATTGTACATATATGTATAGTAAGGTTTCCAAAAGTTTCCGACCCGAAATAAAAGAAATGTCGAAAGAGGAAAAGAAAAAACGACGATTATCGCTTGTCACATGATTTCCCTTAAATTTAATAAACTTGATACATTTCTTTAAACGCATTTCCATACCCTTAAAAAAATAATGTTATCCTAAAGCCTGTTCTGTAATGTGCATTTTGTGTCTTGCTTTTTGCTATTTTTTACATCCTTTTCTTTTGCCTCTTATCTCATTTTTCGCTTTCTATCGCACGAGATAAAGGTGAACGAACTTCGGAAAAAAACAAAAAATACGTGAAAAAATAAGTGTCAATAAAACGATTGTAAAAAGAGAGGAGAAAGCAAGAGATAAAAAGCTAGAAACAGGAAACAAAGAGCACATTGTAAAATAAGTTTTGTCTCAAAATGGGTTTCAATGATAGCTTGATAATGCTCTTTCATCGGTGAAATCTCCATTTCAATGTTTCTTCTATTTTGGACTAAATCTTAACACAAACTTTCCTTTTTATTGTTTGCTGGAGGAGAAAATTTTAATGTTATACATAGATTAGGTTTTATCAAGAATTTTTAACATATTACATAAATATAATGAAAAAAATATCCTCTTTTAAAGGTTGTACTATTATCTTATCAAAAAAATATTTTGTGAAAAAAGAATTCAGTTTTCTTGAAAATAGCACATTTCACACAATTGCATATATAAATAAAAAATCCAGATTAGTTTTTTTAACAAAAATTTCTTATAAAGTATTTTTTCAGATTTTATAACTCAATCTTTTTTACATGTGCGTCTCTAGTAATATTAGCATTAATTCTTAAATCGATAAAATAATAGTAAGAATTCATGTAAATTTCTCATATAATTTCAATTATAATATACACTATTAAGAATTTACAAAATATTTATATATACTATAAGACATATATACATTTATCAAATATTAAGAATTCACATTCAAACGCTATCCATCATCGTTCCTCATCAATGTCATTATCATCATCAAAGGACAGAACAATTTTTTGCTTTTCTTTTTTCGCTTTCTTTTTTACAGGTTTATCCTCGACAGTTGTATCAGAATCTGTTTCTGCTGCTTTAGTTTTGCGAAATATGATCTTCTTAGATAGATCAGCTGGGGCATTATTTTCTTCTGCAATTGATAACTTTGATAAATCAACATCAAAAATTACAGTTCATAAGATGTTTAATTATACGTTTTACTATATAATGCTACATTCAATACTATATGTAAAGTTAGAGTAGCCTCTGTATTAAATTTATACCTTTTTCTTTCTGCTTTTTAAAAGCATCTGCTTCTTCTGCTGTCAAATCACCAGAATTTAACACGACAACAACAGGTTTCTCATCAGTTAACTCTTCCCTTTCATCATCGGATACTTTTGGTAGAACTTCTCTCTATAATTTAATAAATCAATTAAATATATTGTAATTCTGTTTTTGCTGTGTTTTTATGTCTATTTCTATCAGTGTAAATTAACTTTAATATCAATTCAACCTATCCATCTTTCCATGGTGTTAAAAATTAAATAAAGACAAGGAACAGAATCGAGATTAAAGTTAATTTACATTGGAAATAGACCTTAATTTTACAAAAAAATTTAAACAAAATAGTATTAATGTTCACAACAAGAAACTTATGGCTATGGCATATAAAAAACTTAAACAGTAATACATAAATCACAAATAATAAGTGAATTGGCCAATCACAGTAGAAACTATAAGATAATAACATTCACTACAGCAAATCCATAATACTGATTTGCTTATTTGTTTAAATTTTTTGTGCGCACAATATCATTTGTAGATAATCATACCTTCGTATCAACAGTAGGTCCTTCTTTATATCCAATTTGTTCTTTCAGCTCTCGTAGAAATTTTGGTTCGTTTGGTTTGATATACGATACATTGTGTTTTTTTCGTGACATAATTTTTTTAACGTGACGTCCTCTATAAGATTGAAAGAACGTTAACTTGTCAACACAAACTGTAAACTTCAGTGTTTTTCTTAAGATTCTTATTTGGATTTCCGACCCATTACAAAAGGGTCTGAAAGGGTTAAAATATGCAATAAAGAAGAATCCAATGATAACCTCCTCGTGGAACAGAGGCTTCGTTTATTTACAATTCTCACTGGAGTTATCAGGGTTTCGCAAGTACATAAAGACTGTTTTCTATGGCTGAACTAGTGTACACTTTTGGAAAACAATTGGCCAATCATATTTGGATATGGGAAAAGTAATTTTAACTATGATTGTGATACATTTTTTAGCCTGAAATCTACAATAATTTTTTAAACCTTAAACTGTGTCACAGGGCTTGAGAGTTGAGACTTAAAACATCTATTATAGATCCAGACTAATCTTAGATCTCGATGCTCCGCAAGCTTAGAGCAAGAAAAGGTTTTCAAGTCTTGAGGTTGGTAATACTTAATCAGCCGATTAATCGGAGTTGGTGAGACCGGCCCTAAAAACAAAAGCTTAATACTGTGATAATATTTTCAAGATAAACATTGAGTGAATCCGTAATCGCGATGTAGTCTGATGTAGTCTTGTATACTCGTATAACGAGTCCAGTGAGCAGAGTTTACCGATTGCGATCGCTCGCGGTGTTTTTCTGCACGCGTGTCATTCACGCATTTGACGGAATAGGCATGTAAATTGTATATGTATACATAACATGTGTACACAGTCTCTAACTCTCGACAGTTTCCGATTATTGTGGTCCATTTTTATTGAATTTATCCTTGAAGCACGACGCTGAAATCACGTACGTGCGGAATTGACTCGGAATTTTCTCTTTTCATACTATTCTGTTTCGTTTAAAACTTGTTAATCTGCGTACGATGGGCAAGTAGCGACGTGGCAAAATGTCTCACGTTGAATCATGTAAAGTTCGGCAGCAAAATGAATTGGAAGTCTTGAAGGTATATGACGCGCTAAGTAAGCACGTGGCAAAAAGTAACATTTTCTAAGCCATGATGTATCTTCCTAATTATCATATTTTGTCTTTTATAATAGTCTATCTTTGGTGATGAATTGCGTGACTTGAGGAAGAATAAAAATAAGAAGAAATGGCAACCTTTAGATATCATTGTTACCTTGACGCCACAAAAAGGTATGTCCGGACCTGCGGAAGTCTATGCACAGATAGATTTGCATATTGTATGTTGCGACAAATATCCTGATGAGTAAGTTTTATATCTTACAATATGTAGCATCTTTATTTTATAACGTTTATGTTATATGATTTATTTCTCATATTTTAGGGTACCAATTATTCAACTGCAAGATAGCAGAGGTTTGTCTCATCAACAGGTTGCGGTTTTGTCATCTGAACTCGAAAATTTAGCACAAAAGTTAAAGGGTGAAGTTATGATTTTTGAATTCAGTCAACATGTTCAGAAATATCTACACGAGCATAACAAACCGAGTTACAGTAGTTTTTATGAAGAGATGGTGTCGAGAAATCAGGAAAGAATACAATATGAGATGCAAGAGAAGCAAATGAAAGAAGATAAAGAAAGACAGGTTTTGATTTAATATGTCATGTATCTCAATTGCACATTATGTTTGATTTCTATTACCATGGATATTTCAACAGGTTCTGCAAGATGCCATACAAAAACGTCAGGAAGCCCTGAAAGCTGAGATGCGTAATCGGAAGGAAACAAATAGATTGATCACAGATTCTGATGTTGTCTTTCGATCCATACCATCGTCTCCACATGAAAGAGGAACGAGTCGTTTTAGACGTCGATGTGTGAGCACGTCAGAAAGCTCCGAAGGATCGTTGTGCGAGCATAGAGGTACTAAACTCATTCATTTTGACAGTAATAAAGGCGAGAGACAAGTGCACCGAGGAAAATGCTTGGGGCACAGTGCAAAGGGTTCCATAGTATATGCTGGCGTTGATGAGACTACTGGAGAATTATTAGCTATTACGGAATGGACGTTGAAATGTGCTATGGCAAATGGTTGCTCCACTCAGGAAGCCATCGATATACATCATGCTATGAAACAGATTGCTAGTTTGGAGCAAGAGCTGAATCATTTGTACAAACTACATCATCCAAATCTTGTACATTATTTAAATATGAAATATTTGCAAAGCAACAATAATGTGGTGATTTATGTGCTTCAAGAATTCGTGGTATGTACACACATATTGCTTTGAAGCAATATTTTGTAAGATTAAGAATGATTTTCATGTTTATGATATTGACTGTATGTAAAAGTAGGTTGGTACCACGTGCTCGTTCTTCCTGATGGAAAACATTCCAGTCGATATCGACATGTTGAGACATTTGGCAACAGGTGTTCTCGAGGCATTGCAATACCTCCATGAGAATAATGTAGTGCATAAAGATTTACGAGACACCAGCATTTATATAGATCACATGGGTCTTGTAAGATTGTCCGATTATTCTTTAGATAAAAGATTGTCGGACATGTATCATTCGAATTCCTTAGCAAAGACTGAACACGATTTTCCAACAATTCAAGGTCGAGGTGGCAAAAAGGCAGACATATATAGATATGGGATATTATTGCTTTCGTTATTAAAAGGAACCATCATATCCGGGGAAGAAATCGATCTAACAGTAATCCCACAGGTAGAATTTTTTTTAATGAAAAGATCTGTCATTGGCACTACACTAGATTAGTATATATTAAATACTGCTTTGTATAAAGTACCTGAATGCAATAGCATAATGTAATCTTTAAAATGAAATAATACATAATATAGACTTTAATAAAATGTTACATGTATATTCTGTTAAATAATGTGACAATATGTCACATTGTTGAATATTTAATCATTTAAAATGTTTATATTTTACATTTAACTTTGCTAATTTCATGTATTCTTTCAGTATGCACTAATGTAATATATGTAGTATAAGTGACCAAATTTACTATTTGTATAGTATATACGTTTTTTTCCATAAAGTGTTAACGATAGATACGTGTAGCCTAAGTTAAATAATAATTTTTTAGCTTCACTTGAGGGACTTTATTTCAAAATGTCTCATCGACGACGAAAGAATGCGTTGGTCTGCAGAACAATTGCAACAACATAGTTTTATAAAAATACCATTAGCTCGAGGTTTATCGCCTTCCATACCGGATCATGATGAGAAAGAGAAACATTTAGAACCAGAAGAACCGGATACCGATATTCAGTTACATTTGCCATCAATGGGTAGGCAATCACGAATACAAAATGAATTTGAGGTGCTGAAATGGCTGGGAAAAGGAGCCTTCGGCGACGTTTTAAAAGTGAGAAATAAATTAGACGGCGGTGTCTATGCTATCAAACGCATAGAATTAAATCCAAAGAAAAAGCAGCTAAATAGGAACATTACGCGCGAAGTTAAATTGCTCTCTAGAATGAATCATGAAAATGTAGTACGTTATTACAATTCGTGGATTGAAAGTGCTACTTTGGATGATTCAGTCAGGCATAGTCATTTCACGCCAATCACCACGTCTTCAGATAGAACAACCACCACGCAGGATAAAGCAGATATAGTTAATGTAATTATATTATTCACGATAACGATTACGTCGCTCGTACCAAGAAGAGCCGTAACACCGTTCTACTTTATAATGTTGAATTATATATAATTGTAAATCAGACTTTTGCGCTGTATAAAAACATGACGTGAATTTTAGCATCTGGAAAGTGATGAGATAGAAAAATTTGCTCCACCGTTACGCGATGTTGAATGGAATATATCGTATGAATCTCGGGCGAATGTGGCTGATAGCGACGATGAAAACAGCGATGCCTCGACTGATTCCGACAGTGAAGAACACTGCGCATTTCTGTAAAATAATTTTCTTTTTCTAAAATTATATATCCTTTGTAATATTGTATTTAATACTAATATGAGAATAGGGCTACGAGCCTTAGATTCATTAAAATCTTTAATTCTATTAATTCTAATATATTGCGAAGAATATCACGTAATGTTGGCGTTTCGTATTGTATTTAATATTTTTTTCAACTTATTTAAATTTATATTATTTTAATATATGTAATTTTATATTTAAGATATGTGCATAAAGAAAAACTGACTATCGAAAAGCTGATTTAAATTTTGTCTTTTACAGAATGCGAACTTTATTACGTATTGAGTCTTCCGATAGTATTGAATTCGAAAGAGATGATATATCACAAAAATGCGCAGTGACGCCAGACGTTTCTAATAACGATATTAAGGATACTGAAACTTCTAGTGAAGATGTCACGGTAAAAGAAATACAATTTATGTACATCCAAATGGAATTCTGTGAGAAAAGCACATTAAGAACTGCCATAGATAATGGTTTATACGAAGATGAAGAACGTTTTTGGAGGCTCTTTCGAGAAATTGTAGAAGGTCTGGCACATATTCATCAGCAGGGTATGATACATAGAGATTTGAAACCTGTAAACATTTTCCTCGATAGTAATGATCACGTCAAGATAGGAGATTTCGGATTGGCCACGACTAATATACTGTCATCGTTAGTTCAAACCATCGATACTGATAAAGAATCACAATTTGAGAAAGGTACAAGTATAGATAAATTTTTTAATTCCTCGATTAATTAATTGCATTATGCACAAACGCAACTTTGCTTTGTAAAAGATACATTTACGCACAATGCGATTGATCAATCAATGAATTATATAGTTACGTTACATGCGATATATTGATGACAAATTAAAAAATATTGATTATATCCTTTCAAGGTGGAAGTTATGATGTAGAAGAATTAGGATCTCTTACTGGTCAAGTTGGTACAGCTTTATATGTAGCTCCTGAACTTTCCGCAAAAACTGCCAAAGCAATTTACAATCAAAAAGTGGACATCTATAGTTTGGGAATCATTTTCTTTGAAATGATTTACAAACCGCTGACTACCGGAATGGAGCGTGTCAAGGTCCTGCTAAATTTACGCTCGAAAGAAATCGTCTTTCCTCCTGATATATCAGAAACAGATGCATCTCAAATTCATATCATACGGTAAAAAAATTGATTTATCAATGCATGTTGTATTATTCTAAGTTATATAAAATACGAAATAACGATTAAATTCTTTACTCATTAGTTGGCTGCTGAATCACGATCCAAGTCAACGTCCTACCGCTCAGGAATTACTTTCTTCCACATTTTTGCCACCACCGTTAGAAGATACGGAATTGCAAGAAGTAATGCGCCATACGTTATCCAATAGTCAAAGTAAAGCATATAAATATTTAGTGGCGTCGTGCTTTACGCAAGATGTTACACCGGCAGAAGATATTACTTATGATATGAATTTACCTGCTAGGGAAACGTCAAGTGTTCTTTCCTCAAAAAAGCAATTTCTGCAGGAAAGTGTGAAACAAAAAATCATTGAGATATTTCAAAAGCATGGCGGAATATACCTCGCGACACCGTTGTTAATGCCTAAATCCATTCAGCATTCTAACTTTACCGAGTCTAATGTAAAATTGATGACTCGTACTGGCAGTATAGTTTCGATACCTCATGATCTTCGTACTCCTTTTGCTCGATATGTTGTATGGAATAATATTTCGCATATTCGAAGATACGCTATCGAACGTGTCTTCAGAGATAAAAAGGTATGTACTGTAATTCAAAATAACTTGAATAATTTCCAAGCAAGATTCACATTTTTTAATATAAATAAGAAGGAAGAGAAAAATTTTCCTATTCCTATTTATTCATATCAATCTAATTTCTATTTATAATTGTTTATATTTTTTGGTTTAACTTAAAACCTATTATCATCTCATATGCGAAATAAATTATTGTATATTTACAAATGTGGAAGTAATGAAACAAATAACACTTTGCATTTATGATTGCAAATTAATATTCTCTTAATATCGAATTATCACAGGCGCGAGGATTTCATCCAAGGGAATTATATGAATGTGCTTTTGATATTATTACTCCTGTAAATAACAATTTAATGCCAGAGGCTGAATTAATCTTCATCATATGGGAGATCTTCAACGAGTTACCACAGATTCGAGAACATAATTTCATAATACGCCTGAATCATACGTCGCTATTAAAAGCTGTGCTAATGTATTGTGGCGTAGAGAAAGACAAGTATCAGGATATATATTCCATACTACAGGATGCCCGCGATGGAAAGTTAACTAAATTTCAGGTCCAAACGCATTTGATAAGTTTATGCTTAACCGATCAAGCTATGGAAACGCTTTTTAATTTACTTGAAACGGAAAGCTCCGTTGCGAAAATCAATAGTGTTTTAAGAACAATTACGAGAAGAAAAGGAGAAGATGCTCGTTTAGCCAATGAAGGTATAAACGATATAAAGACTGTAACATCTTATGTAGAAAGTTTGGGTGTTAAGGTAATATTATAATGTATTTATACATGTAATTTGTGTAAGTTGTTTACACAAGTATTCTTTTTATTTGTTTTTCTATCATATTTCAGTGGCCTATTACTATCGTACCTTTATTAACGTATAATGTACAACAATATAGTGGTGTGATATATCAAATAACTTGCGAATTGAAGCATAGACGAAGACGATGTGGTCAAAACATCATAGCTGCGGGCGGTCGATATGATAAAATGCTGGTATCATTTAGAAAAGTTTTAGAGCGCACTGGAATGGCCAGTAAAGAAATGAAACAATACGGTGCTGGTATTAGTATATCGTTAGATAAATTGGTGTCCGCTGGTGCTGAAGAATGTGAAGGTAGTGAAAGTAAATACGGTATTGATGTGGCTATATGCTGTGAGGGAAATTCAGAAAACGAAGGAAGAGGAGAAAAGGACATGATTAATGTATTACGGGAAATCTGGTCATTAGGATTGAAGGTTACAACGTTAGATCTATGCACTATGGAGGAAATATTAGAATACTGCCAAGAAAATTCTATAAGCCATATAGTAATATTAAGAAGTAGTACTTTAAGAGTGCTAACATGGGAAAGGGACCGATTTCAAGAGAAGAAGTGGAACACTATACAGGATATTGTTGAATATTTACAACGACAGACCGAAATCGCGTTGCCAATCTTGAATAGGTCCGAAAGTAAAATAAGTGCGAATGATATATCAGTAGTGTCTAGTAATCCGATTAATGTTAACATCGGTTTCATTCTCTCTGAACGAGATAAACTGTCCGGAAGTGGCAAAAGAAGTTTCAAGAATACCATATTAGCGCAAATGTCCTCCTACTTGCAAAGAATATCACATAAAGTTCCTGTAGAAATTTTTGCAGTCTTTTTAGAAATATCCGTTATAAGAACGCTGATCGGTTTTTTAGAGATCGATGAGGAGGAACAAGCTTTCCAAAAAAGTATTCAAATTATAATAGATAAGTGAGTATCATAATTATATATATTTAATATATTATATTATGTTATATATTATATCAAATAATGAACATACTCAACTAATGTCAATAATATTGATTGTCATTTTTACAGACATCCACGGCATAAGAAATATATAAAAGTAATATGCGAAGATATGAGGAAATTACGGAATGAAAAGTCCAAGCCTGTACAGATACTTTACAGTTTGATAGACAGTAGACACATGACTTTAATATAAAATATTGTCAAAGCCGAAAAATATATTTTCATAATAATTATGTGAAATTAATAATGATGAGCGATTGGAATGTATGTTAATAGATGATCAAACATGCAAAATATGTATGTATTAGATACTTAAGCATTTTTTGTACTACATTATATATTTTTAAATATCAATGTTTAATAAAAAAAAGTGAGACTATATATATATATATGTATATATATAATATATGACGCTCCAAAATGGACTTTTGGATTTAATATAAAATCAATACAAATTAAGCGTGTTTATTATTACAACATTAAATATTTTCTTTAGCTATTTCAATCCTTACTGGTGCGTTCCAAAACTTAACTCTGTCAATTCCTCTGTCAAGTATCTTTTATTCTTGTTCAACATTCAGTGAATAAGGATAAAATGATACTCGGGTTGACAGAGTCGAATTTTGAAACCGAACCCTGCAAGATTTAAATATATCATTCAAAAGACACGTGCGTGTTACGTGTGTGTGTGTGTGTGTGTGTGTGTGTGTGTGTGTGTGTGTGTGTGTGTGTGTGTGTGTGTGTGTGTGTGTGTGTGTGTGTGTGTGTGTGTGTGTGTGTGTGTGTGTGTAGTGCGCGCGCACGCGTATTTCGTATGCAACAAATAAATTTTTCTAAAAAATATACCTTCTTTATATATAAAATTATATTATACAATTATAAACTCGTGGTAAGGAGAAGATAATTTTCTAAATTTTACCCGCTTGATTTGTATGAATATAATTACATTCTGCAATTATATGACAGTCGTGTTATGTTTTATCAACGTGTCAAATTTATACTTATATCATTTTCACATTTTCGATGGCTGTCTTCTAAAATTTACGATCAGTAACGAAAATCTAGTTTTACGTCACGTGCACTATAGATTCTCACTACTGGTAGTAAATTTTGGAACATAGCCAATGTTCACTTTCACTATCGTTTGTTTTAGTGTATTGTTTCATAGATAAAATGTCAATTACGGAGAAATAAATCTCGAAAGTTGGATGATATTGACGACATGAACAATAGGAGACGGAAGCTAGTGGTCTGAACGATTCAGTTACTGATCATAATTTATAGTGGTACAAAATAGATAATTTGAGAACTTTTTTTATATAAATTTCAAGTATTATCCGTGACAGTCCTTTTCGATTTTATTTCTTTCTAAAATAGCATACATTCTCGTTGAAATCAATTATCTGTGGCGCAACCCTCTTCGAATCAATACGACTTTGAAACGATATATATGACTACGACTGCTATATACGAGAACCTTAACTCGCGTGTTCGCTAGTGTACAGTATTCTAACTTTAGAAACGACCTATCCAAGTGTATCACCACTACATTAATCTCAAAACCTGACCTAAAATTAATACGGTACAACAAACTTAAGTGTGAAACTACTTCTAAATGGCAGCTGCTATAACGCATTTAATGTGACAACTGTGCTATATTCGTTATAATATCGATAAGAATCTAGTATGCATTCTATACAGTTGCTGTCAGGATATGATATGCCTACAGTAGGACTGGGAACGTGGCAGGTGACAAAATATTATTAGAATGTTGTAATAATAATAGATAACAATAACGTATCTTATTGATCACATATTTTTTGTCATCACTCAATTGTGTAATAAAATACTTGTATAAAGTGATCTGAAAAGATTAAAACAATCGTTCTTCCAGGCTAAACCAGAAGAGATTGAAACTGTTGTGAGCACTGCCTTAGAATGTGGTTATAGACATATTGATACAGCAGCAAATTATAATAATGAGGATGCGATCGGCAGAGCTTTGAAGAAATGGTTTGATAAAGGTGGTACTAGAGAAGAACTTTTTATTACAACAAAGGTAATGTGCCATGCTCGAGCTCAATAAAATTGATTTCTGTTGCAATTTACTACTTAATAATTACAATATTATTGTCTTTCAAACAAGCACAACTATACTTAAAAAGTCTTGTAAATGTTTTTATTTTAGTTACCCAATTTTGGCAATCGACCATCTGATGTAGAAAAGTTCATTAAATTATCGTTAAAAAAGCTTGGATTGGATTATGTAGACATGTACCTTGTTCACATGCCCTTCGCATTTAAGTTAGATCAAAATACATACACTGCAGCAACAAACGAGGATGGAAATTACATACTCGATTTTGACACAGATCCTGTCTCAGTGTGGAAAGTATGGAATCAACTTTATATGTTACCATAAAAAGGAAATTAACTTTGTATAATGTATTAATATATATATAAAGAAAATCTTTGAAAGAACAGAATTATTTTGCAGGAGATGGAGAAGCAAGTTGAATCAGGACGCACTAAATCTATAGGTTTAAGCAACTTTAACGAAGAGCAAATCTCGACCATTTGGAAAAACGCACAAATTAAGCCAAGTAATTTACAGGTAAATCACTGAGCGACATTTATCTATTAAGTGTAATTTAATCTTCATTGATAAAACATTATCGAGATAACGATATCTAACATTTTTAGATAGAGTTACATGCATATATGCAGCAAACACCAATTCGAGAATTGTGCAAGAAGTACAATATCGTTGTAACAGGTTACAGTCCATTAGGCTCTCCAGCTGCAAAGACACATTTTCAAGCAAAGTATAATTATACTTCAAATACATTTCCTGACTTGCTAAATCACCCGATTGTTCAAAAGATTGCTGCAGAGCATAAAAAAACGACAGCACAAGTTTTATTGCGTCATTTACTACAACCAGGTGTTGTAATTATTCCTAAGAGTTCGTCCCCGGAAAGAGTCAAGTCAAATATCGATTTATTCGATTTTTCCTTAACAGAGGAAAACATGAAAGTTTTGAATACCTTAGATAAAGGTACTAATGGACGAATTTTTAATTTCTTATTTTTTAAAGGGTAAGTTAAAAAATATGTATAATTTGATTATTATATTTCATCAAAAATGTATTTAAAATTATACTTCATATAATTTATAAAAATTATACATATATTTCATATAAAATCTACTTACATTATTGTCTGTGTGTTTCAGAATTGAACATCATCCACATTATCCGTTTAAAAATGAACTTCCTTAATCATAAATTAACATCCAAGTCATTAGTTTGTATAAAAATAGTTGAGAAAGAAATACATAACATACCAAACGAGCACGATACGTTAAATGTAGTTCTGTTATTTTTTCAATGCAATCTGTACAACATTTTACGTTGCAAACGATGCTGAAGTTCACCGCGGCGTATCATTGTATGTATAACTTTGTAAATAGCACGTTCTGGAAATGACTGCTTAAGAAAATCTTTCACAATATTTTGTTCAGATACTTGATGTCCAATAGGAAATCTATTCTTCAATTGTTTTTCAATACGGGTCAATATTTCATGATCCTCCTCCGAGGTAAATCCTTCTGCTCCTGATAAGATCGCAATATATACGTTATAAAACTTTATACTCGTATTTTTTTTGGGCTACCAAATATAATATATTCTGTATTTATCAATTTGTAGCTTACCTGCTAATGAACCAGACATTGCAGCTTCTAATGTAGATACATGGAAGAGCCTTAAAGCTTCATTAACATGGAGTTCAGTAGCGAAGGGTTGTAACTGCATTTTGGCCAAGGCTTCGGAAATTCGTATAATAGCTTCAAGCTGCCGGACTGTTATAGGTATCGATAATCTTTTTTCAGCATCTTTCTCATGTTCTCTTGTACCAGCTCGCATCATAACGTAACGATTTTTTAATTTGTCCCCTGCCTCTGTACTGAGTCTCGGACCACAACGTCTGTTAAAAAAAAGAAATGAATGGAAACATGTATTTTTTACAAGATGTTATACATCATATGCGACAAGATACAGCAAACTTACGTTCTACAATAGTTTATATACTTTTTGAGAATGTGTACAGGAATTTCTCCTTCTACCGATTGTTCTGTGATCTGGCCAGCATTACAATGAATGTTCATAACGTGTTTAGCTAATATCATATCCCTGTTGTGTTCATGCTCATCTTTAACAATAAATATCATATCAAAACGTGACAATATTGTCGGCATAAAATCTATATTCTCTTCTCCTTTTATATCATCCCAACGACCGAAGACTGAATTCGCTGCTGCTAACACAGAACATCGTGTATTCAGAGTTGTCGTTATTCCTGCTTTCGCTATAGAGATCGTTTGTTGTTCCATAGCTTCGTGTATCGCCACTCTATCATCCTCCTTCATTTTGTCGAATTCATCTATGCAAACTACTCCACCATCCGCGAGAACCATCGCGCCACCTTCCATGACGAAATTTCTCTGGAAACAGCAATAGTTGTATACATGAAAAATATTTATTGAAATAAATTTATGTATTTAAATTAATTACAAAAATTGTAAATGTAAAAAATGTTTAACAAGAATGTAACTTACAGTTACTGGATCTCTTGATACAGACGCTGTCAAACCGGCTGCGGAACTACCTTTTCCCGATGTATAAACAGCTATAGGAGCAACTCTTTCTGCAAATTTCAACAACTGTGACTTAGCGGTACCTGGATCACCCAGCATTAAGATATTAATATCGCCTCTCCTGCACAAGCCATCTGGCATTAGTTTTCTCGAACCGCCAAACAATAAACACGCAATAGCTTTTTTAATATCTATTGCACCAAAAATACTAGGAGCTATGCTCTTCGCGATTCTTTCATAAATATTAGGATCTGCTGCTAAACGGGTGAAAAGATCTTCCTCTTCAGATGTAACGGGCGGCTGAGTTCCTGCGTAGAAAATACAGGAAAAAAAGAAATAAATACAAATCACTAATCGATACTCTAAATGTTTCAATTTTGTATTATTACGCCAGTACCTATGTTGGTATTATCTCCATCCACAGAGATACCAAGAACACGAATATATGGAGCTCGTACGCCTACTAATGCCTTTTCTTTACCTGCACCTTTGCCACCTGTCTTAGATACTTTCTTAATGGAATATATCCCGAGAATCAAAACTCTATTACCAGGCACAATTCTGTCACATAAATACCGATCGCAATATAACTGCAAATGTCTGGGCATTTCACCCTGCGGTATATGATCTGGTAACTCCTGAAGCTTTAATACTTGAAAGTCCACACAGTGGCATTTATCCGGCATTATAAAGAAAGGATCCAGGGGACATTTTTGTCCTCCACCAGCTTGTTCTCTAATGACAAATGACAATTATTTGTGCGATACATTATAAAGCGAGTAATAAATTACTTTTGAAAGGAAACTCACGTGGTGCATTTTCTGGGTAGCGTGTATCCTTCTAGACCAGGCTTGATAGGAATATTGACTTGAGTAACCTTGCAAGAACGGCATTGTATTGCAATCTTTGTTGCTTTTGATCTAATGCCAGATGCAGAAACGATTATACCAGGAATTTTAACGAGCTTTGAAACAATATCTGGCTACAAGAGTGGAGTAATTATATATTAAAATTAATTTTTAATTATACAGGATGCTTCATGACAAAAACAAGAATGTATTTTGGAATTCATTCTAAGCAAAATGTCCATATACACTATATAGGTTACAGATCAATTCAGGTCAATATTATCAAAATATTGACAATTTTATTAATATTTTAACAGACAAAAAATATAGGTATTTGTAATTATTACTTCGATTAGATTATTTCATCTTCAATAAATTTTAGCTTACTTAATGTTACGCTTTTTTTATCCATTAGCTCAATACCCCATAATTTATTATAAAGGTGGAGCAACTGATCTCTCTCTTTCTTTCTCTCCATAATTTTATTAATTTTTCAAGATATCTCTTTTCAATGCAAACATGATACACAGCTTGTTTTTTCTAAACACATATTTTATAAAATTATGCAAATGCTATTTGTGCTTGGTCTATGATCCTCAGTCTATTAAGTAACTGCTAATGGATTATCAATATATGTCAGTCTGTTAACTCAGTAAATGTATGTATACTTACTATAGTCTGTTGTAGTCAATTAACTATGTAAATGTATTAATTGACAAGTAAGTGTTGATAAATATATATATTTGCTAAAGTTGATACTTTGACATATAATATATACAAGACTTTAAATGCCACAAAAAGAAGTTGAAAGATGCTAAGTTGATCAATTGGTAAATTTGCATTACTGACAAGTTTTTTATAGCTTGATAATTAAGTTAAGTAATAATAGTGAGTTTGATCTATGAATCCTTATACTGCAGCTTAAGAAGGACTATCATATCCAACATGAATCAAATATATAGTATAAATTAATTACTTCACTTAGAATGAACTCTAAAATATATTCTCAGTTTCATGGGACACTATATTTATTCTAAGGATTCAAGATTTTTAATAAATTTATATGCCATCCCTTTAAATTGATGACAGTGAAACTATGCAAGTTTTTGTGAACTTTATCATTGCTATACATGTTATGAGAATTATGGTATTACCTTCATCCCTCTCAAGGAACTCGGATGAGCATCCGAACATAACAAGACCTGAATGTCTTCCATCTTTTCCTCGCCTTCAGGTCGAGGTGCCGTTAGCTCGTCCGCAACATCTTTTGCAGCTTCTTCTAGAACGGATAAGTACTCTGTTGGAAGCTTTTGGATTTTCTCCGCAAGGGACTCGTCGAAAGCTGCCAAATCCTCAAGATTGATCTCCATCCAGTATTGACCGAGATTATAATTACGCTTTAAGATATCCCTGAAAAAAAATTAAAAGGTACTGAAACATCAGATAAAACTGTAGGTGACAAGAATATCTAATCTTTCTTCATTACCGGTATTTGTAGTTGAAATTACCCTCGTGAAACTGTCGGATGAACTCTTTGAATTTCTTTTTCGAGTGTTGAAGATTCACGCGATTCTCGTGACTTTCGTCCACCGCGAAATTGTCAGAGAAGAATATTCCTGGATCATCGAAGCCCTCCATTTCGCGTGAGCTACTTGTTTAAAAACAATTTAAAAGATCTAATACAAGCAAACGAAAGTAAATCAACAAGTATGTCACGCCACCGAAATCAGTTTCGGCGGGAAAGTTTCGATATGTTTTTAAAGCTGATACACATATGACCTTAAGGCAGTGTTTTATGAATACGATCATATTTCATAAATACAGGTAGAGAATTGGTTGTTAAAGCCCTATGTCCACGATGCTAGAAATCAGTCCAAGATCTCAGATGGGGAAAGAATTGACCAATAACATTGAAACGTAACTAGATGCCTCAAATGTGATTTGTTAATTTTTCTTTTCGAGATCTCGGACCGATTTTTATTAATGGATACAAGGCTTAAATCCACATCTACAAAAAATGTTTAAGCTTTTTAAGTCCTAAACAATGCGAGGGAATAGCAAGAGCGATAAAAATAACACGGTTTCACAACCTATTAAAATAGGATATACGAAATATACAGTTTCTGATAGGTGTATCGTGTTATTTCTATCGCTATTGCTATTCGTTCGTATTGTGTGGTATTTGTGTCTGGGGCTTTAACCTGGAACGTACATATATTTTTAAACTTTGTACCATAAGAAATGGACGAATCACAGTCAATTATTTTCCTCGCATTCGACTGTAATTGGTCATTTTCTCTTACGGCTTAAAAATTAAAACATTTATTGTAGATGCAGGCTAAAGCTAATATGCTCACTGCTTACAAAGCCGATTCTTGCATTAGATATTTTAGATGTTTGTCAAATATCGAACATAGCCTGAATTCGGCATAATATTACGTTTGTTACTGCTTCGTCGTACGCGCTTCTCTGTAAATTCATCCCCTGCATGTATAAAAGTAATAAACATGGTGCTCGGTGTCGACGGGAAGAAAGAGGTGTCTCAAAGCACCGAAAATAAATGTGACACTGCAGGTGCAAATTTTCATTCGGTAACATTACCAGCGTGAAAAAAACGCGCGAAATCAGCGACGAGTATCATAAATAACTTCGTGATGTTCGGTTAATATTCTCGATCGATTGTCTCGCGACTTCATTACGTTATCTCCAATCTCAAGGGAGTAAACTGAAGTAAACAACTCGCGTCATTACAAAGATACATTCTTTCTTATTTTTCTTTTAATGACCAACGTGATTTTCGGTAATTTTGAAAGCAGTCGCGTGATGATACCGCTTAGAGGAATGCAATATGAGAACAACAGAACAGCATCGGAAATCATGCGTACAAAATGATATGGAAACGCAATTACCAGACCTGACAGCAGTTAATCACGAGAAATTTCTTGACAGAGACGCACTAGGTGTCTTATTGTTTTACCTAGTCTAATCACATCTTGAATCTTTCGTGCATCCATAGATCTCGAATTCGGGTAAGATGTTTTTAAATGTACTACATTTTTTTCTTACAACTATCTGATATTGTGTGTGTTTCCACATTTGTGTTCAGTATTCAAAGTATACCTTTAATGTCGCATCTGTCGCGTAGTACATTCAACATTTCGATGATTGTACCTTTAATTGATATAATCTGTTGATAGGTCGTAGACGGTGTGCAGATTAATCATGCAGATCATACTCCTGAAGTCAGAGTGATCGGCGATGTATGCAGTGGGGACAAAATACTGGGATGTGCTCGTCTGCTATTTATGTCATTTTTTTTAAGTGACGAGTCATGCCCGGTGAACCACCAGCCACAGCTGGAAGTAAATCCAGTAGCAAAGCAAAGAGGATCTCTATACCTCGTGTACAAAGCAGTACTGATACAGAACTACAGTCTCAACAGAGTCAAAGCGGTTCAACTCCATTGCAATCTACTGCATTGCACTATGTCACCTTCCGTTCGGAGTTAGAAGACAGCCCCATTCCATCGGCTCTGCGATGCCGTTTGTATGATCTGTTTCACCAAATTGAAAAGGAATTTGAAATGTTGTACACAGAAAATCTTGGATGTAAGTATATTTTATGAAAAATTTAGTTGCTTGTACTATGTTAGATTAGTGTGTGTTAAGTTGCTATATATAAAATTAGCAAAATTAAATACAAAAACAGGTAAAGAGATAAATATTTTAAACGATTAACTATTTAATAATGATAATGTCATGTTATTTAACAGATTGTTTTATTGTAAAAAGTGATTACCTATATTATGTCACTGCATTTAGATAATTTATGTAAGCCTTTAATAAAAATACTAATTCAGTGTAATGCGAGCAATCAAATTCATCATTAGTTATTTATTTCATTATTTAATATAGCTGTTATATGTATTGAATCTTCTGTTTCTTATTATAGTGCAGGAGAAGATCGACATCCTAAATGATAGACTTGAAAGAGAGTGTTATGGATCGGGCGAGCGTAGTTTACCTCCAGGAGATCTTACGGATTATCCAGAAACAAAAAATCTATCTAAGCAGAAATGTAAGACTATTATAATATTAATGTTAAATCCGATATAAAAATACATTTTAATTCATATGTTGCAAAGAAAGAATAAAAAAGAAAGATAGTTCAAATTATTACATTTTTTTATACAAACATTTAGAGAACTATAGAAATGTAACATTCAGATAATAGTATTCATTAAATTATGCCAAAAATTATTTTCTTAAATTATTTTCATTTCTGACAATTTAATTTAATTTATGTATTTTTTATTTAGTTTCATAAGTACCATACAGCTTATAAATATTAAATTTTTTTTTAATATTTTGTGTTTAAAATATTCTATTTATTATCTTCATTATATAATTTTATGACATATTTTCCACTCATCTATCTATTCCAGGAAATTTAATAAGAATGATACAAAAGATAGAATACATAGCTAGTATATGGTAATATAATAATTTTTTAAAACTTAATAATTTTATTACATTATATATTGTAATAAGAATTTTTCTTTATTTTCTAGCAATGGGTGCAAACTCAGCGCAAAAAATTAAAACTTCCCACAAATTAAAAGCACAGACCAGTAAAATAGTATCAAGTTTTAAAACTCCGTCTATGAATTGCACTATGCAAAAAGAGTATATGGGTCATCGAGATGGTGTGTGGGAAGTATCCGTCGGCAGATTAGGTCAACCCATCATAGCAACTGCCTCTGCTGATCATACAGCACGTATATGGGCAATAGATAATAGTCGATGTTTGTTACAATATATCGGTCACAGTGGATCTGTAAATTCGGTTCGGTTTCATCCAAATAGAGAATTGGCTTTATCAGCGAGTGGCGACTGTTCCGCTCACGTGTGGCAGGCAGCTGTTGATTGGGATATGTCGAAAAGAGTATCGTCGTTAGAAGAACTTCCAATAGCGAGTTCCGAACGAACTACTGCTAATAATCTACTCAGTAATAACGACGAGCAAGATGATCCCCCGACTTTAAGGACACCGATACGCGAACTTTTGGGTCATACAAGCGTTGTAATGGCTGCAGATTGGCTCTCTGGTGCTGAACAGTTAGTCACAGCTTCTTGGGATAGAACAGCAAACTTGTACGACACGGAAACCGGAGAGATTATACATACACTATGCGGACACGATCAAGAATTAACTCACGTGTCGACTCATCATACACAAAAATTGTGTGTTACGTCTAGTAGAGATAATACATTTCGATTGTGGGATTTTAGGGAACCCATACACTCGGTTTCAGTATTTCAAGGTCATACAGAGTAAGTATATTAACAAAAGCAAGTTTTTTTTCTGATTAATATTCAATCTGTTTACCCTTCGCATTAAATACGTAAGATTAATAAGCATATCTCTCATAGAACAGTAACGTCTGCAGTCTTTACGAGAGAAGATAAAATTGTATCTGGTTCGGATGACAGAAGTATAAAAGTATGGGAATTACGTAATATACGTAGTCCATTAGCGACAATACGTGGAGATAGTGCTGCTAATAGATTATCAGTTTCTAGTACCGGGATAGTGGCAATACCACATGACAATAGACAAATACGTTTATTTGATCTAAGTGGTCAACGTTTGGCAAGGTTACCTAGAACTAGTAGACACGTAAGAAAAAATATATTTTATAGTATCAGAATGCGTAACACAATCGAATTTATTCTTTCATTCTTGAAATATATATATTTATTATAAATATCTCATTAAAAAATATGATTATATTTGCAGGGACATCGTAGAATGGTGTGTTCTGTTGCTTGGTTGGAAGATAGCAGTGTGTGTAATTTATTTTCTTGTGGTTTCGATAGACTAGTATTAGGTTGGAGTGTTCTTCCTGTTAAAGATGCTTAAACATCAAAAACTGTGTGATTTTATCAGATATTTTATGTCATGTTAGTGTGATATTGGGAATATTTAGGTGCAATTTAGATATGGAAGTACATATGTAACCATACAATAAAAATCCAGCAATTAATCCAATCAAAGATCCTCCCCTTCCACTCTTGCAGACAACTGCAATAAAAAAAATCGAAATGTATGTATTATTAAATAATTGATCAAAGATAAATTATAAATAGATTGTGAATTTTGAAATCGCAATAAAGCTATGAATGTCTTGCGTAAAGTATACGTTTTTAAGTGCATTTTTACCTGAATATGCAGTTAAAAGGCATAAAACGGTGTAACCTTGAATAAGAAGGTAATATGGACCAGAGGCTATGTGCTGCCACACTATTCCCAAAAATCCCAATAATTTACCGCAACCTCCGATTATTAGAGCGCAACTTAAATCCTTTACGCTATATTTGTATGGTTTTTTACCAATGATAAACCATTTTACTTCAGTTACTACAATAACTGTACAAATAAATGCTGCAAATGCTAGTGCTGTGTGTAACAGCAAAATATAAATATTGCAATGGTCTTGTAATGCATTGTGAACTAAATCCATTTCTGACGCAGTTAATTCGGTTTCATCTATGTCACAAAAAGACCAAGCTCTGAACGATTCGGCTAGCCATAATATTATACTTATCTTCCAATATGATTTAAAATTGCTATTGTACAAAAGATGTCTATAAGCTGGTTTTTCTATCAGAATAAGATCTACAAGGACTATAACAGGATCATATTCAATATATTTGTCAGCTAACAATCCACATTTCTCCTAAAATAGTGTAAAATTGTCAGTGTACAATATAAACACATGGGTTAATGTTTTACTTACACATTTTAAAATTTTAAGGACACTAGGGCAGTATCTCCTGAAAAGCTCTTTGCATTCAGCTCCACAATTTATGCAAATATACATTTACAGACAACCATATATCTGAAATAATCAATAACAAATATAATTGGTAAAAATATATGTATATATTTTTTAAATAGTGTATAAATTTATAAAAGTAACATTAATTAATTATTTAATTAATTAATTTAATTTCAGAAATGAAGAAGGAGAGAGACAACACTGAAAAAATCCATGTAATTTTCCAGTCATAAACATGTAAAATTTTCATATAAAAATACGATTCTTTTCAGTAAATTACTTTTATATATGTTGAAAAGCTTATTTTCTATTACGTATACTATACTTCGACACGTTCATTAGCAGTTTCTAGAATTTGCTTTCTTCGTATCGAGGTTCAGCAAATATTGACTTGGAGATAAACTTTCTTCGTAACGATTTTATATCTGCGTTAAGAAATTGTTCTTTATTTCTTTTAACATTCACGCGATACTCCGAATTTGGCAGAAATATTACTTGTATTCTATATGTCTATTATTGATATTTTCGTAAAAAAAATATCTAACCCTGAGCTATTTGATTCAGTGATTACAGGAACAGAAAATTATTATGAACAACAGACTTTCATACAAAGGCTGTTTTTTTATCTGAATTTCTTGCACAGTTTATATTTTCTTTTTTTTTTGCAATGTAGAAAGAAAAAGAAGAAAGATGAACTGTGCAATAAGTTCAGCTAAAAATAGTAGATCTATAGATTACCTAGATTGCTAACATCTACGAATTCAATTGAAAATTAATGCAAATAGAAGTGGAGGTAGATATAAGTAATGATTTCAGAAAGGCATATGTTGGATATTTAGACACACGGCGTGTGTTCAAATAGCCGCAACATAAAAAAATTCAGCACATCTGTACTTTTATATTACAATTTTTGTCCGATGATGTTTCATCAAACTTTTTTGGAGCAGCTTCAAAGTAAGACAAAAAATATTAATATTCAATTTTATATAATTTAAGAATAAAATGTAAAAAAAAATCAAATTTAATGCCTTATCTTTATGCTTTAAAATGCGTGGTCAAAAACTTCTCTACGATTTTTATTCACAAAAATACTTAGCTTTTTGAAATACGACAAAAATATTAGTAATAAAACATTTATGAGCACAACTGTAGTTTTGGAGATCTCAACAGAAATACTAAAAATCAAGTTTAAATATATATATTATATATATGTATATATTTCTATCTAAGCAACCGGTTATCAATTTCAGTTTGAAATTCGTATAAAATTCTTCCTTGTATGTCACTCGACAGTAAGTACAGGTTCTATATACATAGCTATATAGTACGGTGAAAGTTGAGTTGCAATGGAAAGAGAAAGATAGGGGTGAAGTGGTGGATATAGTAAGCATATCTCGACTTTAACATACAGTCTGGGTTCTTCGTTGTTACAAAGCACATTGAACATGGTTCAACAAAATTTAAGTGTATCTCTGCCAACAGGGCAACAAATGCCCATAATAGGATTTGGAACATGGCATGTAAGTTTATAAAGAAGTAAAATTTGTATTATAATTCAAACGAAATTTATTTATATCGTAATTATATTATATTTAAATATGTGATACATATTTTATTATATTGAAATATTTATATTGCCGTAATAAAAAGTTATGCTCCTCCTGACATAAATAATTTTTATAAGTAATTATATACACTGTGCTTATTTTAAATCATACTTAGTCTAATAGTATCATATTTGTTACTATAGATCTATCTCTTTGTGAGATAAAAAGGAACTTTTTTATTCAAGAATATCCTCTGTGCGTGCGTGCGTGCGTGTATTTATTTGTTTATAAAAATATGTTATTAATATAGGCAAGTGGAGAAGAACTAGAAGCAGCTGTGGATGCAGCTTTAACAGCAGGGTATAGGCACATCGATACAGCTACAGTATACGAAAACGAGCGTTATATCGGAAACGTTATCAAAAAATGGTTGGATTCTGGCAGGATCAAGCGATCAGATTTGTTTATTGTGACAAAGGTATAACACTCGAATTTTCATAAATGTTTTTAAGCATAATATAAATAATTAATATAAATATCAACATACACACACATACACACACAGTAATTTAATATTACAAACCTCATGTGTATTAGTTAGCATCGTCACCGCATGGTCTTTAAATTGCAGTAGTATGTATATTTTAGCGAGATAATTCAAGCTTATTTCCGTTCATTATTTATAATACCTTCGAACTATGTTGAAAAAGTGTAGCCTTAGAAATGGTACTGTTTCTAAGGTTATACTCTATAATTTGTAACTTTTTCTAAATGTTTTATTTAAAAGTTTTAGAAAGAAACTTAGATGAATGACCCCTGCTGCCGATTGACATAAAATTGTATAATGAATCCTATTGAATGTAAGAAATAAAGTACACGTGACTTATTCTTAACTTCGAAAAATAAAAAAAATTTTTTTAATGTATAAGACAGCACTTATTAATTAAAATAAATTTTAATAAATGTACTGGACAGGGGGATTCCCTTCCGATGAACTTGACTTTGACATATGCTATTGTCAAAGTTATGATCCTGAGTGACCTTCAGGTTTTAACTCATTATTTATTAAAAAGTTATTAACAATCAAAGTTAATAATTATTTCGATTAATTTCCATATAATTTAAATTATACCAAGGAATATTAAAATTTATATTTACACACTATCTGCTTTATAATTAATTAAATTATATATATGTGTTATATAATTTACACATATTTATGTATGTGTAATATAAAGTAGATTTTAATCAAAAAGTGCTATCATAAAACACTTTTTTGTTTCCCAAAGTTGGGACGTTGGAACCACGCATTTCGTTTCTCACATCAAGAGCAACTTATATGTAAAATTTTAGGTCGATCGGAAGCAGAGATCTCACACATACACACACACATTCAAAAATAATGAGAAACCCACTATAAATAATAAAAATGATAGTATATTATTAATTTACCATTAATTATACACATATACGTATATCATATATCATTATATATGTATATGTATGTGTATATATATGTATATATGTATCATATTATATATATATATATGCTCAATATCTATAGGTACCACCAAGTGGTAACAGACCTGGAGATATAGAAAAATGGTTGAAGCGATCACTTTCTAATTTAAATTTGAGTTATATTGATTTGTATTTGGTGCATACCCCCTTCGCATATCAAGATGCAGGTGAAGATTTTCATCCTTTTAATGAAAAAGGAGAAATTTTGATTGATACAAACACGGATCATCTGCAAATTTGGCAAACAATGGAAAATCAAGTGCTGGAAGGACGTACGAAAGCAATTGGACTGTCCAATTTTAACATCGACCAGATACAACGAATTTTAGATAACGCTAAGTTGCCTGTCTCAAATTTGCAGATAGAATTGCATGTTTATTTTCAACAGACCGAATTGGTAAATCTTATCTTATAAATTAAATTATAAATTAAGTAATCTTATCTTATAAATTAAATTTAAAAAAGTGATAAAATTAAACACCTCTGGTTTGTCGTAGACAGATAATGGATTAAACTAAATTAAAACTTTTTTACTATTACAACATATAGTTACGAAACTATAAATTCGAACTGAATGCTATAACATCATTGATTTTTTTCAAAGTGTTGGCATTACAAGAGGCTGAAAATTTATATTTATATTTCAGCAACACACACACACACACACACACAAACACACTAATTTTAAACTATCAGTGTCGTAATGCGTTCGTGATATCGCAATTTTTAACATCCGGAAAATACAATAGTTTAAAGAAATCATCGATATAAATGATGTGTATGATCTAGTCAATTAATGTGACTGTAACTTTAACAATCTAAAAATATATATTCTTTGTTTAGGTAAACTTTTGTCAGGACAACAACATCAGTGTAACGGCGTACGCTCCTTTGGGTTCCCGTGGATTTGTCGAGAAAATAGGAAAGGGAGACGCTACGCCGGACTTATTAAAAAATCTAACTGTGTTAGAAGTTGCGGAAAAATATGAAAAAACACCCGCACAAATATTACTTAAGCATATTGTTGAAAAAGGTATAGCGGTCATACCAAAAAGCATTAATCCTTATAGGATTAAAGAGAACATCGAATTATTCGATTGGGAACTCGAAGCTGGAGATGTCGAAAAATTAAATGCTCTGGACATGGGAGAATCTGCACGCGTATGTGATTTCAGTTTCTTCAAAGGTTTATCAAAGCATCCAGAATTTCCTTTCTAATAATTATTTCTTAATTTTATCTCTCATACAGAGTACTCCGAAAGCAAATGAAACTAATAAACATATACACTATAACAAGAAAATTCTCAAAATATTAAGTAAAAAAGTTATTTGTAAATGTTTATTTTGTGGGCAGTAGAGTTTTTGAGATAACAAGAATTTAAATATGACCATCGATCCAATGGCACTACAACCCAAGTTGGGTTCTGGCCTTCACGAGTAAATTACAGACCAATTACAGACGACCATCTGTCCATGAATCATACTTACGGTAGTAGTATGCACAGTCAGAGGTCTTCATTTCTTATTAATACACTCCTTAATCAGGTGGTTAAAGGTCTATAATTAACCTTATTTAAATCTTTATATCTCAAAAATATACTGCTAAAAAAATAACTTCTTTATTTAATTTATTAATTTTTCAAAAACTTTTTTACTATAGTATTTTAATTTGCAAATTTCGGAACATTCTGTATATGCTATATCCACTCTTTATTTCTTGTTGTTGTTACATAGATATATATTATACAACAATTTAAAGATGTTTATTGCATGCAAAACTATCGTAATCAAATAAATACTGTTTGTTATAATTACCTATTTTATTTTTTATATAGCAATTATATAACAATTTAAAAATTGCTTCATGTAAAACTTTATTGTTATCTAGTAAGTAATCAATGTTTATATTGCATCTCAATTGCTATATCTTTATATATGTAAATTTTTAATATCTTATTAGGTATCGTTTAAGACTTAGGTAGATATATATAGATATGTTCTACTTCTACTCTGTTATAATTCTTATTGAGTTAAAATAAAAGATAATAAAAGCAACACAATTATATACACAAGATGAATTGATATCTATAAAATTTTCTCTTGCTTTATATTGCGAATATTACTGTTTTTATCAAAAATAAAATAATCATATAATTATGTATAGTGCATATAAGTACATGTTATAATATAATATGTAATTGAATAATTCCGATCAGAATCGATTCCGACTTGTTACGTATAATAGTTACTCTACTGCAATTTTAATGGATCAAACTAATCATTTTATAGATAATAAAAGTAATACACAATTATATAAGACGTTGGTTTTTATAAAGGTTCTCTTTTGCTGTTATACAATTCTTTTTACTAAAAGTAAAAAATTATATATAGTGTTAATATCTATATATATATATATATATATAATTTTAGATTTATATTTCAGTTGTCACAAAAAAATTTTCTATGCAATATGTTTCCATGCACAAACAATTGAATATAAAAATGACTTTTTAAAAAGTGCTTCGAGTTGGAAGAGTTATCTTGTCCCGCATCACATAAAGATGTCAGGTATTTCTTGAGTTATACCCGAAAATGTAGGGTGCTTTCACATTACCTACTTTCATCTCAATTATTTTAGACCGTTTTTGTTGGCTTCTTGATTTATCTTCTTTACTTTTTGTAAGGTAAATTAAGACTCAAGATATGTACATCTGATCCTATACTAATCGTCGCACAATTTGCCAAAATATGTAAAGCAGAACACGCGCGCGTTTCATATGCACACTTCGCAAATATAGAGGAATGATTGTCAAACAGTAAGTAAACATAGCATACAATTATTCAAACAGAAATGTTTATTGTGTTCATAATTATTGTATTATTTAATTTTGAATATTAATTTTTTTTCTGTGTAAAAATGGATTAAAGACATATTAATGTTAATACACACATATTAATGTTAAAGCATTATTAGGAACGTTACTTTATAAAAATACAATAATAATATATAAATTTTCTTTTCATACTTCGTTACCATTATTACTAATTTTTTTTTTTAAATAATGCGTTATCATTATGATTACTCTTTGCAGGAATCTGCTCTACAATAATTTGGTGTATGTAACTGAATCACATATTTCGATCTATACTATATAGTATAGAAGTTAGAAGTAGAAGCAGAAGTATTTATTAGGGATGTGATTTAATTTTGAGAGGGTTTTTTTCCATAAACTGATTTATTTAAACAAGATAACGAATGAATACCTTATTCAAAATATTTTCGTTTCTTGCGAAATCCTAAAAACTAATCACTCATGATAGTAGTAAGTAGAAGTAGTAAACAAGTTTTCTTCTCGATTTTTGATTGGCCTATAGTTCAGTGAAAATAGAGTATAATATAGAAGTACGTATAGTAGTATATAGGATGCAGCAGAGAGAAACCTCTCTACTCTCACTAGTAGAAATTGGTAGAAATTTGTGAATTAAATTTGCCGGATTCACCGACATATCGTTAGCAAAGTGTTTTATCACCAATTAAATGCAATTTCTTACCAATTTGGCGTAGTATTTATAGCATTTTATTATAACTGAGAATATTACCGTTACCATTTACAGATAGAGTGACAACCAAAACTTTTTTTGGTTATATCGTCGAATTATGACTGTATATAGCTACCTTTTTTCCTTGTCCTATGAAAGTGTCCACGTGTCGTTAACCTATTAGGGTTTATATAATTTAACACTTTTTTTTATATGTTTCACTGGCCGATGAAAAGTTGAAATATCTTTCATAAGTACAGCACATTTACGTACTGATTTGACATCACAATTATAGGTTAGAATCACAGTGGCAATGCGCATGCGCACGTCAATGTCAAATTTTTTAATCAAATTTTTGGAGGATTTTGACTTTTTTTGATATGCCGATACATTTTTTTTTTCTTTGCACTTTTCTCCTAACAAGATTATGACAGCGTACTGTCAAATTCAACACATTTAGCAAATTATCTCATATAACAAACAGAAATGATTTGATAGGTAATAAAACTGACAAACATTAAAATATATATCTCTAATAAAACAGAATATCCATTTAAAATAAATGGATAATATAACGAATATTTTTAATATTTTCGGTTTAAATTTGTTACATACTACAAAATGACTAAACATTGTTGTTATAATTATACATTGCTCAGATTCAAAATTAATACTACATTTGCGCGCTCGCGCGCTGAAAACTTATATTATTATAATATGTCGCATGTGCGCTCATCAACTTTGCATTGCAAATGTTACAGATAGAATTAAAATTAATAATACATTTAATGCCGTGCGTTTAAGTAACATTATAGAGACCGTGTGTCGTCAGAGAGCGATTACACTTTCTCGTCCTGCTCCTACGCCGATCCATTTGACTGTAATCAAATTTAAATTACTCTATATTTAATTCTCTCCTAGATTTACATATACATTGCATACATGTGCCAAAAGCATTTACGTACCTGGCACATCTAAGTATTCCTCTATGATTTGTATGTACTTATGTGCATTAGGCGGCAATTTATCCAAGGAACGCACACCCTCAGTAGTGGATTGCCAACCTTCGATCGTTTTATATACTGTTTCGACTTTTGCTAACTCCCAAGTACTACTCGGCAAATAATCTATATCTTTCCCATTTAACCGATATCCAACACATACTTTTATCTCTGCTAAAGTATCTAAGATATCAAGCTTTGTTAAGCATATGGAGGTGTATCTACAATAGACAGAACGTTCTATATATAGATTATGGTAAAAATGATATTGTATTAATTAAATTCATATCGAACAACTGTTAAAAGACAATGCTCTGAAGTCCTGTTTTACCGACCAAATACAATATTTTTCAAATAAAGTAATCATTTTGTTGATTACATAGAATTAATTCTTTTTTGCAATTAAAATACAAATAATAACGCAGGGACTAAACAATTTCATATAAAAAATTGAAAAATTAGTTTTGTTATCAGGTTGTAGTGTCAATTTGTAACAATATTTGTAATTTTTATGTTTTAAACACATAAAACAAGTGTAGTCCAGACTAGAAATTATATAAAAAAAAAAACAATACTGTAAATAAGAAAATGGAATTTCAAAATGATGAGAGCAATACTGTGCTTTTAGAAATAAACCAAGAGCTGTAGTATACATGAGAAAAGTTTATGTGAAAATGTGCATGTATGATATTGATGTAGTAGTATGTAGCAATGTATTGACATTTCATAAATCATATATGTTGCAGTCGATTTTGTTGAAGTTTGACTATCACGCCAGCATCGTTAAATAAATTTTTTTAATAAGAAATAATTTTCACACACCCATTAACTAGAGTCGTAAATTTCAGCAACGGTAAATCGAGCCATCCACATCGTCTCTTTCGCTTTGTGGTCACGCCGATCTCGTGGCCTCTTTTCTGCAACAGTTCTCCTGTAGAATCAAAAAGTTCCGTGGGGAAGGGCCCATCGCCGACTCTAGTAGTATAAGCTTTCACGACGCCGATTATCTCGCCGATTGTGCTACATGGTAAACCGAGACCTGTCAGTACTCCGCCTATACTACAATTCGAACTTGTCACATACGGATAAGTTCCAAAATCGATATCCAACATTGTCGCATTAGCACCTTCCACCAAAACTTTCTTGCCATCCTTTAAAGCCTGGTGCAAATATTGTACCGTTTCCCTTACGTACGGCCTTATACGTTCAGAGTATCTGTGAAAAAAATCAGCCATATATATTGTAAAGCATACACTTGACATGACTAGATCTACAATGAAATCGGAAGATGGTCTCATTACACTTACACCTTGTAACGCTCCAATTCGGCTTTAACATCAACATGCAGGGCAGGGAACATTTTCTGATACGATGTAACCAAGGTTTTAAACTTTTGGGAGAACTTGTCAAAGTCTCCGAGAAGATCTCCAATCCTGAGTCCAGCTCTAGCGGCTTTATCTGAATACACCGGTCCTATTCCTTTCTTTGTAGTCCCCAATGACTGAGTGCCCTTTTCTAGTTCTTCCAACCCATCGACCAGTTGGTGAAAATCAAACACTATATGTGCTCGATCCGATATTATAAGTCTGTCCTGCCAATCCTTAAGTCCCTTCGATTCGTTCTTCTCCAGTTCTTCAAACAGACCAGGTAAATGAATCACCACTCCATTGCCTGCAAGCAAAGGAAAGTACAAATAAATAATATCAATTATAAAATATGTGACATATAACAGAGTTATTCAGATAACAATTTAATACATATCAAGAGATATAGAGCAACCTATATGTATGAACAAGTGGAATAATTGTCTGTTTTATGTATCCATGATCTTAGCATCTCATTTATCTTCATAAAGTATTATTCTATATTCTTTCAATTTACATTAATTATTAAAATCATCACAGAGACATGTTACTTTTTCACAAACCAGAATCTATAATTCGATTAATTTACTGGTTGATTTGAAGAAGTCATTACCTATTACGGATTTGCATCTGGGATTGATTATTCCACTAGGCAGAAGGTGAAAGTCGAATTCGGCACCTTCTACAACTACAGTATGCCCTGCATTATTTCCTCCCTGTGAAATTACATTAATACTTGAAGAAACAGGGCTCGCCATCATTTATGACAGGAAATACAGCGCGTTGTGATTTGATCATTGAATTATAAATGAACAATAAACGCAGGGTTTCCTGCCAACATAAACAATGGCATTGAAATCCGGATACAGGTATATTACAAGTTTACCATATTAGAGATAAAAAATAGGAAAAGGGCAAAAAAGAAGAGAATATAAAGTAATATTTTATAATACAATTTAAACATAATCTCATTGAGCTCTATTTAAAAAACAGCACATTAATTCCAATCGTACATAACGTGTTTCTCATCATCATGTACATGTATTTAACATTATTAACTCTCTCCTAGAGAGACACGGACACAGATATGCATAATATACTGATATTACATAATTTTGATTTTCTTACATTAGCATAAATCGATTATTTTGAATTATACAGAACATTGATTCCGTCATTAATTATGTAGACCGTCCTTGAAAAAAAAAAAAAAGAAAAAAACGAAACAAAAGCTCTATGTTTTTATGATATGCAAAATATAAATACTTCGTCATTTTTTTGATCATAAAGATAGGCTGAGAACGATAATTTCGTGAGTTCCCTCTCTTTCGAAACTATATTTCTTTTATGGCCGTCAATTATGTAATATCAGACGTCAGGTTGTTATACATTCATGATACTCGCGCGCACAGATCAGGTGACACGCGGTTGCAGCTAAAAATAAAATTAAGACGAATGAAGCGTACAACGCTTTTGCATTTTCCGAGCGCTCGCTCATCTACGGGAAGAGCAACGGATGCCAAACGTTGCTCCTTTTCGGGGAAATATTTTTAGTCTCTCCCTGGAAATACCGCGTGAACTAACCTAAACGTCTCCCCGGGATACTCTTGACGCGCCTTGACCGTTCCTCGATCAAACAGCGGGAAAGAGCCGGAAAATATCGAGTTCTTTTCCCGAAGGGGAGATACCCGATGGTTGTTCGCGTCCCGCGGGAGGGAAATATCATTTCGTGAATCTCTTAAGCTCTCGAGAGGAGAGGTGGCACAGGGTCGGGGAGAGACACGCGGCGGGAAACCGTACCTGACACCTGCAGACGACGTCAGCCTCCATCGCCAGCATGTCCACGACCTTTCCCTTGCCCTCGTCGCCCCATTGCGCGCCGAGGACTACCGTGACCTTCGACACGGTGGACATCCGCTGTTTCTTCCTTGGCGAAGCCGGAGCGCCGTTGCCGTTCGCCTGCATCTTTTCCTTAGGTGCACGCGGGAGCACACCAGACCGGAGCACACACGGACGACCGTTGAGTTGCGCGTCCGCCACACTAACGTCGCCTTTGCCTGACGTTGCCCTTCGGCGAACGGGACTTTTCCTCCTTTCGCCAAGGAACAGCTGACACGGCGGAAGTCCGTCGGAACGATCGTGGGCGAATACAGGCGAATATCTCGAAGAGCCGCCTCCACCGCACTTCACCACCACACTTGATTACTTTGATCGTGGCATTCCCCCTCCACGGTCCACCCCGCCTCTTCTGCCACCTTCTGCGCTGTTCTTCCCCTCCGCCTACAGATATTAACTTACCTAACCTAATCTTATCTCAGAAGGTCTGTTCGTTTTAGGTTTTAGTTGAAGTTCTTGCACGATTTTTCTTTCTTTTCTCTCGATAGAAAAAAATAGCATTTCCGATCCGAGCGAATTTGTATCGATTTGGATCGGATAATGATTGATTGATACTATATTGATTGATCTTACATGTTGTATCAATAAAAGAGCATACAACATACAATGTCATTAATCCAAGCCAGGTTGGTGCAAATCCACTCGGATCGAATATGCTAAAAGAGAAAAGATGTGCCGTACAAGAAGTTCGATTATAAAGAATAGGCCTAAGTATGGAAGAAATTAGTGGATATGTCACTATAATATCCTATCCTATTCAATTAGAACTGGTTTTTATCCATTCCTTCCAGGTAAGTTTAATACAATATGATTTATGCACAAATTTACGTATACTCGTATATATAAAAGTTAAATATGAATATAAGCGCGAAATAATTCTAAAATGTTATATGAATATTATTAAGGATTCATTATATTTTAAAAATACTGAAATAACATTTTATGAATATTAATCCGTGCTCAAAATATTTTTAGATGTGTGAAGGATCAATTTAATCTGCATCTTTTAAATATTATTTTTACTCTTGCTGTATATGTATAATAACAGTAATACCAAAAAATTATATGTATATATACCAACGTTATGAAAATTTCAGTTACATGTACTAATTTTCTATGTCCGATATCCTT